ATTTTTTGAGACAGAGTCTTGCTCTGTTAGCTGGGCTAGAGTGCCGTGGCATCAGCCCAACTCACAGTAACTTCAAACTCCTGGGCTCAAGCAATCCTACTGCCTCAGCCTCCCGAGTAGCTGTGACTACAGGCATGTACCACCATGCCCGATTAATTTTTTCTATATAGTTTTTCAATTGTCTGGCTAATTTCTTTCTGTTTTAGTAGAGACAGGGTCTTGCTCTTGCTCAGGCTGGTCTTGAACTCCTGACCTTGAGTGATCCTCCCACCTCAGCCTCCCAAAGTGCTAGAATTATAGGTGTGAACCATCACATCCACCCCTTATTATTATTTTAAATGAATAATAAACGTTTTTAAATTTCTATTTTAATTTCTAATACAGGAAATATAAATCCATATAACCCACACAGAAAATATACTCAGATGTAAAATTGTTATATATTTCCTCAAATTAATAGCTCTCTTATATATGTATCACCTACCCAATAACTTGGGAAATATTTCAGACTTTTTCTTTCCTTATTTAACTTCCTAGTATATCTACTTTGTCACTATATGCAATGCATTCTACCCTTTTAATATTGTTCACATCCTCCCTTGTCTTATTTTTTTCACTGTTTAACTGCCTTAATTCACACTCTCTTTATTTCTTACTGGCCTGTACTTTATGTATTTTATGTTGAAGAATCTTTTATTCCTTGCCTCATCACACTTCTCTGAAAGATTTTCATACATTTAAATTAAATTTTTAAATTTCTGTGACCACAGGATTCTAAGAGATAAATGCACACGTACATTAACACACAGAGACACACAGACACACACACAGACATATGTATACATATATATTCTGGATAGAGCTATAATTGTTAGTAGTCCATAAATGATAAACAGCATGAATATATGGTTAGTGTATTTTAAAAGATCTCTTTGTTTAGTGCCCAAGGTTTTTAAACCCTTGGGCAATGCACTCCAGTAAAATTTAAGAGGGATATGGAAAGTCTGCCTTTGTTTAGCAAAGTCAGAAAGGGCAGTAGTGAATGGAAATGTAGGAGTGTTGAACAGGCCTGACTTCTGGAGAGAACAGGCATCTGAGGCAATCTTTCTTTGGGAAATAATTATATGGAAATAGAATAACTGGAACTGGAGCTATCCACATCAAAGACCCCTATGGCAATCTTTGTGTTCCACTGAGTTTCATGGACAACGGATTGGAAACCACTATTCTTGATCACAAACGAGATAAGATCACTTCCCCTGCTTAGTTTTTCAGTGTTTCTCATGGCAGCTGAATGGGCTACTCTTGGAACGTACTTGATCTGCCCTATATCGACTTAACGGTTCTCATCTTCTTCCCATTTTTCTGTTTTTGCCCCATATCATACCCATATTAACCTACTTACCATGTCTTGAATACTACCCAGCTAGTCCTCCATCCATGTCCTTGCACCCTTCCTCACTGGCCTAATCACAGCCATTTTGTAGAATCTAAATACAGATTATTAATACTAGATGGAAAGCACCTTTTGTAGATATTAAATAAATGGTGGCAATTATGATTTTCTAATATAATTATTATATAATGAAACAAGAGTTTAAACCCCCCCTCAACTTTCAAGGGAGTAAGTGACATAATCATCAACTTATTCTTTTTTCATACATATTAAAAATCCAGAATGAGTTCAGCTGGACCAGACTAAGAGATAATCAGAAAGTTGGCCCAAGACTTTAATGGTACAAATAAAAAGTGATAATCAATTATCTGTTACAACCAGTGCAAGTAAATATGTGTGTGATGCCCAAGATCTCCACCCACTGATGTACACATGCCGTGTAATCCCGTCCCCTTGGGTATGGATAAAACTTTTGAATATGGTGAGAGAGTCATTTGTGATTAGGTTATATTGTAGATCAAAGGTGAAGAGGTTCTATATATGTAATTAAAGCCCCCAGTTATTCACTTTAAGTTAATTAAAAGGGAGATTGACCTAGGCAGGACTGACCTAATTAGGTGAGCTATTTAAGAGTGTCTAGAGGTCAAAGGCTCAAAGCAGGAGAGATGCTATCCAGTTGGCCTTGAAGAAATAAAGTGCCATATTGTGGAGAGGATCAGGTGTTAGGGAACATCAGGAAGTCTCTAGGAGAGCACAACCACAGCCTACAACCACAAGAAGGTGAATTGTGCCAACGACCAGTGAACTTGAAATGTGACATGGAGTTTCAGATGAGACCACAGGTTTGGCAGCCACCCTGATCATGACTGTGTGAGACCCTAAGCAGGGAACCTATCTAAGTCATTCCTGAACTCCTGACACACAGAAACTATGAGATAACAAATGTGTATTGCTGTAAGCCATGAAGTTTTTGGTAATTTGTTGTGCCACAATAGAAAAGTAATACACAATTAAAACCACCACCAAATTCTTGGTTTTGCACTACTGGCTTTATATGTGTAAGCTAACACATTTGAAAGAATATTCATACAACATTATCTCTTATGCTATCCAGAATGTCATTTTTATTTTATTCACTTAGCCATATTTATATCTCTATCATATTTTTAAAACTAGAAACTGTCCTTTAACAAAATTTTTTTCCAAAATATTCCCCAAACCCAGAAGATTATTTTAATCTGAATGATATAGATTTGGCTCAAAAACTCCAACCTCATTTTGTTAGAAGTAACCACCCTCTATTTAACAAAGCCATAAGAATACATGTTATTTGCATAATTAGCCAATTCCTTTTTGGACAGAAAAAAGTGGCACCAGCTTTATTTCCACATCCCCCAAACACCTGAGGCTCCTGCCCACTCTGACCCCAAGCAGGGCCTCCCTGACCTTCTGACAGGACACAAGAACAGTGTCCCTTGGGGACTAAGGGGCTTCTAGCCCACACCCACTGACTCCCTGAAGACTGTCTTCATTCCTGGAACGAATCTCACGGGGAAGGCTGGGAGCCAGGGAAGAGAAGCAGGGTTCGGCCTCGTGTGCTTGCTGAGGGTCCCACAGTGCAGTCCTGATAAGGCCCCCACTTCTTTCTCCACCCCTGCTGGCAGCACCCCCAACCCAGAACCTTCCTGTGCTACAGGGGAGTGAGCTGGATTCTTAAAGCCTCCTGGAGAGCAGGCTAGAGGCTACGGCTGCAGAGCAACACCCCCAGCACCTGGACTCCAGGGATAGGAGGCTGTTCTCAAGGTCTAGGCCACATGGGGAGGTGGGGACACCACCATTAGTGCATGCTGGGGGCTGGGCCTCAACCACAGGAGGGCTCCAGGGCCCTGCAGGGCTGGAACCTGCTGACTTACCCCCACCCCCACCAGGACCTTGTCCCTGGAGAGTGTCACCTCCCATTTCCAGTATCCTCCAGGGCTGGGGCAAGAGTCAAGAGCAGATAGAGCCAGGCCTGCCTTCCCCAATGATTTTAATAGTTAGAAAAAGTCATATTCGTCCTCTTTCCTGTCTCTCCCAATCTCTTTAAAAATATGTTTGGAACTGAAGATGAAGGCAACACTTGCATTTCTTGGTGTATGCATGCCAGCTGAAGTGTGAATGTGCAGGTGAGTGTGTATGTGAGAGAGAGAGGGAGGGAGGGAGGGAGGAGAGAGAATGTGTGTGTGTATACTGGTCTTATTCCAGAGAAGATTTATAAGAATGCCTAAATCACAAAAATAGAGGGGAAACAGTTGGTTTATTGTGCCTATCTGGTCTACAGTGATGGAAAGATTAATAAGATTAAACAAGTCAATGAGTGGAACTAACCCAATCTATACAGAAAAACACTGTCACAGGAGTCATCTTTTATTTTAAAGGACAAAACAGATGATTCAATTTCCTTGGAACATTGTGTTTCACTCTGAGAGGCTTCCAGATTCTGCAGGCATTTCACATATGCCAGGCACATCCCCTTTCTATGGGCTTTATATGAGTTGTCAAAAACATTTATTTTTATTAGCAGGTCTCACTGAAGTTTACCTTGGCAGAACCATAGTCTGGATAATATTGAACTAGATTTATTCAGAAGAATGTCCCCATTACGCTGCTATAGGGAAATATGCAAAAAATCTATCGATGTTTTTATAATTATATATGCTACTCTGCATACTGGTACCTGATCTTATATAGATCATTTATCTTTATAGATCTCTCTATATATACATATCTTTATATTATCAAGCCAATTTATAACATCATACCTTCCTAATTTTATGCAATTCTATTGATTTCAAAGAATTTTAGGATCCTGTTGAAAAAATAAGACCTGTATTTAGAGAAATAAAAACAGTATGCAATATTATTTCAGAAAAGAGTGAAAATGTGTGAGTTAGCCATGGAAGAGAGGACCAAGTATACAGATTTAAAGGGACACCACAAAGCAAGTATGAAAAGAAGCTTTTTATCTTAAATTCAGGAAAGCTGAATAAGCATCAGCAGATAGAAAAGGACTGCAGTAGGCTGAGTTCAAGGATGGCCACAGAGGTAGTGATCGGCCACAAGAGATTAACGACATCTGTGAGAAGCTTGTATTAGACTTATTATACTTCACTATGGCCTCTGTCATTCACCAAAAGAGGTTCACAGTCAGTTGACAGTTCATGTTATGACTCTGGGGAGGAGAGGTAGGGAAAAGATACAGGATTGGAAGGTAAGAACGTAAGGCCCTAGCTTTTACTATCTTAATGACTTAGTGATGCTGTACATATTTTCAATCTTTTTTCTCTCTGTACAGATATTTTCATTTTCTTGATAGCATTAGAATGTTTAGGAGTATAAATATTTCTTGTGGATGTGCATATTTGCATATTTATCTCTTTAAGAATAATGCCTCTCTGAAAATTCAGATGATTGGGAAGGATTATGTAACACATTCTTAAAATATTAAAACCTGTACACATTAAAGCATCAAGTAAAATAGTTGTTAACCTGCCTCACCAATAATCGCCTGCTTAGATCCAGTCTGGGAGAGGAAAAGGAAGCAATAAATTTGACCCTAACTTACCACACATTTTAATTGCACAGTACTCCCAGGGGGTGTCAGGGTCAAGAGTATAGCACCATGGCCTCGGCTTGCCATCAGGATTGCGGCAATAATTATCATCAAAGCCCTTGTCGGGATATCTGCAAACCACACCAAGAAAAGTGTCATGTAAATCTGCCTAGAAACACCACCCAGCCCCCAGCTCACAAAATAACTCCACACTTAGGTTGGATACTATTAGCTGGGGAAAGAGGAGGTTTTCTACGTTTTGTCTCACAAGGACTGCTAATCCCTGACCATTGAATCTACTAATTTACATATCCCACTAAGTATGGAGTTTCATAGCCCTTGCTAATAAGTTAGGTCCATTTGGTATCTGCCCACCAATTGAGGCTCCAAACTGAATCCCTTTCTCATAGAGCCCAATTAAGAAGAGATTATATAAACATGACCTTGTGTAGAATGCTCATTAAGAAAACAGGTCCTCTTCTAGGGCAGGCTTAAAGTTCAAACTGAAAGCTAGATTTCAATAGCTCTGTTACTAATGATAGCTCAATTTTGGAAATAGAGCCTTTCTAGGTCATGCCCTCACCTCCACCAGAGCAAGAGACAAACTCCATCACACCACTTTCTCCATACCCCATCTCCCTTTAAATTAACAGGGCCCTGAATTGGTGACTTGATTTTAATTGCTACCATATCCCTTCCGCTCTCACTTAAAAGATAAAAGATGCATTTAAAAAATAAATCAAAAATAAATTAAACTCTTTTAATTTCATTTAAAAGAAAAAAAACAAACAAACAAAGAAACAGAAAGAAAAAAAGAAAAAAACATGTTCCAACAATTTCTAAAGAAAAGTGGGGATGGAGATTCCTTTGTAATTATTTGTATTTTTATTCTTAATAATAGAAACAAAAAATTTCTTTCTTTTTCTTTTTTTGACTTAAAGGTGTCATGTGAAATGGGCAAAAGTAGACATAATATTTTTTTGTAGCTATTTAAGCTAAAAACCTATTCCTGGAGGAAAAGGTAGACTTAGATGTTTGAATTCTCCAAATTGGCTGTCCATATTGACAATTTCAAAATATACCAAGATAAAGCAAGTGAAGAGTTGTTTGTTCCATGTTTCATTCCCTTTCTATGTCATGGTGTTACGTGTGAGTACCTGAGTCTCTGAAGATGCTTCTCTAGAGGAAATTTGCTTGTATTTACTAATAATGCCTCCACCCACAGCTCAGGCCTGTCAAAGTGGTCATTTCACCAAAGTGAATTGGTCTTGTCTTGCTCCTCACCCTCCACCCCACTATGGGAGAGAAAGAGGAAGCTTTTATTAGTACTTCTACTCTGCATTAATATAAGCTTAGTTATGTCCCCCTCTGATGGTTCTATGTTCAGGCCCATCCTGATTTTAGGAATTCTTAATCCAATCAGGTAAGACTAGTTAAAGGTGTAGTAGTCAGTGTTTCAAATAATTCATCATAAATACTGCCCTACTACCACCTCCTCCAAACATAACAGCTGGCAATTCTGTCTGAAGAATTCTGAGTCAGGGAGTTCTAAATTTTATGTTCATGCTCTATCAAGAAAACATCATTTAAAGAGAATTTCCATGGCAGGGTGTCATGAAGCGAATAACAATTTGTAAAAAGAATCACTGAAGCACAAATCAGTAATATTTTACCTTTCGGGTAAGAATTTGTGCCGGTGTGGCGTCTGATGATCCCAGCGCTGACAAATCTTGCCTGTTTCTGTGTGATCCATGGGCCCTCGATAACTTTCCCCATTGCAGGTCATGCATTCAACTAATAAAATTAAAGTATGGCAAGTTAATTGTTTTCTGACAACAAAATCAAAAACACCACTGTTCCATTTAAAGAACAGCACCTGGTTAGCAAACAGATTTTTAGAAAACCCTACCCACCATTCTAACTTTAAGTTAGGGCTGAATGTTCATAAATAGTGGCATAAAACACATGCTACAGAACTTTTCATATAGTTTAAATGTGATTTTTGTGATTAGTGTTATACAGATTTACCCTAGGGCCAGGATGCTGCCTATGTAATTTTTCGATAACTGTCTGAAAGGTACCTAGAAACTGGAAATATTAAGATAGATTCTTGGGGATTTTTCCTTTTTGAGTAAAATCCAAGTCTGTTAGTATCTGTATTATCAGCACACTAGTGTTCCTCTGTCGACCTGCCCTCCAAACACAGACACAGAAATTACACAATTTAAATTGAGTTAATGTCATACTTCTCTGATTAATGCCATGGTCAGGACCACATAGATTTAGGATATTGACTTCTGATAGAAATCTGGTACAATTCAAAGAACATAGATATTTTTTAAAAAGGAAATCACAATTCCTTTCTGTTAGTGAACACTCATGTTAAATAGTTAAGTTGAATAGGCAGACTTACATTCCTATCTAGCTTAGAAGATGACCCGCTCTTGAACTCCTTATACCGACCGACTCTTTTTAAAATGTATAAGCTGATCTAATTATGCAGGATCTTAGTGATGATTCTGTGAGGTTAATGAATTGTTCTCTCTGGCTGGCCTCTTATGTCACACTGAAAACTCTGAAACACATCAACTAGCTGAAAATGAGACTTCTCAAACAGACAGGTTGATTTGTAGCATAGCAAGCATCCTGTGGAATAAATCATTGCTTGGCTTTTCTACGAATCCGGCAAATTTCTCCAAACACATCATTTGTATCTTGTGATTACTGATCGTGTAACTTTAGCAGAAGTGGAAAGAGATATCAATGTGTAGTTTTATCCATTGGAATCTAGACTAATGAGTATTTGTAGTAATTTGGGGTATAATATTAGAATCATCACTTTTGAATATTTGATTCTTATAATCCAATAAGACATTAACTATTCATTTTCTGACACATGCAACCATTTAGCTTGATCCACCTACTTTCTTTCATGAAGCTTAATCCATGAACTAAGACAAGGGACCAACTCAGCTTGCCCTTGTTGCATACTGAGATTCCCCAGACTACAGTCAATAAGCACCTGAACTATAAATAAAGAGCATATTGATAAAGGTGCTCAGCTTGGCCAAGGTCATTTCCACATTGAAATGTCAAATATAGGTTGTGCATCATCACATTTCATCTTTCCATTTGAATAGAATATAGGCTTATTTAGTTCGCTTTTTTAAAAGAACATAAGGTTTGACATCTTCAAAGAAAATGATGTAGCACTTATCATTCTTGTTTGCTTCTCTGTATTGAATGAAAAAGAAGAATAGAATACTATGGTCATACATAAAAATATAAGTACCCACATATACAATTTTTACTCTTGTATAGTACTCAAGGATAAGAATATATCTATTATGTCTCCTTCAGCAAATTCAGTTTGTAATAGTATATTCCTTTCTAACAAGAGTGAATAGAATTATTTTCTAGGAAGCAGTACAATGAGCATTATAAAAATTTCCCCCTGACTTATAGAAATATAAGTCTTATTTTTAATACTCTTATGGAAAAATAGCTATACAAATGAAACAGATAATCTTATAAGATGACTACTTTCCAGTATGAGTGTGGTAGATCAATGTTTCAATAACAAGCTCCCAGGGAATGTAGATGCTACTGGTCTTTGGACCTCATTTTGAGTACCAAGTTGTAGATAACGTGATCTATTCTGAAAGTTCTATGTATTTGGCAATAATGATTTTTTTAGGATTTGATTTGGACCTTGAAGAATGGGTGAAAGTTGGATAAGATATAAAGAGACAAAATAACATAAAATGGTACAGAAACATGAATTAGTATATTATATTTGTAGTAAAGTGAAGAGAGAGTTGTGGCTGTAGTTGTGGGCCTAGTGAGATAAAAATAAATAAATATAAGTTAACAAGAACAATGTTAAATTTTGGAAAGGAATGAAAGTTATAGTTGGGTTGTGAATTAAACATGTCTTGTGATAGATATGAGATGATAATATATTATAGTTACATATTATTTGATAATTAATTCCATACTTTTAACATATAAGAGATCATTCGTTTCTTATAATGAGGAAAACAAAACTCACAAAAGTTTTAAAGGACTTACCTAAAAACAGAAAATGTCAAACCTGTGTCTGGAACAACAGGTCTTCTGACCCAGAGTCAAGAGTTCATTGCATTTTCCCAAATTGTCTTTTTGATCTACATAGTTTAACATCTTTGCCCCACATTCTAACTGGTCATATTTTAAGATAGATTGATAGCAAAAATTTTAGAAATTTGATATCTCTGTCCTTTTCAACATTTTCCTCATTGCCCTCTGCCTTCTTGTTTATTAATACCACAGGAGGTTGCCCTCGTGTTGGATTCTCACCTTTTGGAGGTTGGACAAAGGAGGCCATTGGAAAGCATCTAGACTGGCCATCTTATCCAAGGTAAATGGCTGAAAAGCTGATTGTTTTATCATTGAATCAAACCATCAAGTTAGTCATAAAAATTACTTCAAGAAAGCTAAATTTTGAACTCATATTTACTTTTCAAACTTCTGGAATTCTCAGAATCTTCTAAATTTTCCTAGCTCAAAGGCAAGCAGTTCATCTGGAAATCAAGCCCACTTCTCAAGGAAGCAAGTAAAAGTCTGAGCTATGTAACAGCGCAGGGGGTGAGAAGTGCCTCTGTGGCTTGTGCCCTTGCTGCCAATGCATTATTTAACTATGCTGGCAAGTTCTTCTCTTGAAAAATAGAAAAAAAAAAAAAAAAAAAAGCAAAATACTGTCCTAGATCACAAAAACAAAGTAATAGTTTCTGTTCAATATTTTTTCCAACTATAGTTCTGTACTAAATGATAGTTGAAAACTACACAAACTAAAGATAAATTAGGATTGATTTAACATCTTTCTCATCACCAAACTCAAAATAATGTTCCATTTTTCTTGATCTTAAAATCACAAGTGATGTAAAGTTATAAACTAAACCAGATTTTGAAAGTATCTTAATATATTTTTAATCAGTGTTTATTTTATTCCAGTAAAGGTAATCTCTCAAAAAAATCCATGCAGGACTTTACTTCAGCAAAACTGAATATTTAAAATATGAATAGTCTCACGAATTCATATTATTAATTAAAATTTTTATTTAAATCATTGTTCTTAAAAGTCTTTCATCAGAGTATGAAATTACATAAAATTATGTAAATATTATTTAGGATGTTAAGTGTAATATGTTTAAAAATAATGATTATGGCTTAATTAAAATATATTTATTTGAATATTTGACAATCATTAAAATTGACATCTGCTCCAATGACTAATTACTGCTTTATTTTAAATACTAAGCAAATGCTAAACCAAGAAATTGGATTTTACATATCTTGCTTTCTATAATTTTTGAATTGAATTAAGCATCAATTGGTACTATTCTTTACATAATTATGTAAGTTTTTTTAATTGTCAGATAAAATATGTATTTATTGTGTAACAACATGTTTTGAAGTATATATACATTGTACATTAACTAAATCTAGCTAATTAACATATGCATTACATCATATAGTTATCATTTTTGTGGTGAGAACACTTAATATCTAGTCTCTTGGCATTTTTTTAAAATACTATATATTGTTATTAACTATAGTTATCATGTTGTATAAGAGGTCTCTTGAACTTATTCCTCCTAACCAACTGAAATGTGCTACATGTGATAAAATAGTATTCATTTTCTTTGGGAATGATTAATGTATTTGAAAGTTTTAAATTATAAGAAAATAATATTAATCATTCAATATTAGACATAATTCTTTTATGATCCAAAATTTTAGACATATTTCAGGTGATTATTTAGCCAGGAGTTTAATATAGGAATTCCAAAAAATACATACTATTCTATGTGTGTGTGTGTGTGTGTGTGTGTGTGTGTGTGTGTGTATCTTTTTTAACAGAACAATCCAGATTTTAACCATAGGTATTTAAATATACAAAATGATCTGATAATTACTACCTCATCCACAGGGATGCAACCTTGATAACTTTACATTTAATGAATTGATATCCATGGATAGAAATGTCCTACCCATTATACTCTTTAAGCATTCTGGATTTTGAGGTTTCTCCCTCATATGTTTATTTTAGTAGAAATTTATATCATATCTACATTATTTTGTATATTTTGCATTGTCCATCCTATCTCTGTTTTTCTCTATTAATGCTCAGACAATGCTTCTTACTTTGGATCTTCTTTATTCGAATCCTGCTAAAACATTGTTCATTTCAGATTGAACTCAAAAGATCACAGTTCAATTCACACTCTCTAAAATATGTTTAACTTACAGAGCAGATGTTTGTTTCCTTCTATCACAGGAGAGTTTGTCTACTATTGTCAGGTTTCTAACTGTTTCCAGAAAAAACATATCTGCAACCTTTAGTGCCATGGTGACCAATAGCTTCATGTGCCATTAATACGAAGGAGCAATGCCCTTTTATAAATGAAATGTGATGATTTCAAATTAGTAAAGGATATTAGAGAGTTATAGTCTAATAATGTATGGATAACTGAAAATAGGATTTTTCCCAGTTGCTTCTTTTCTAGCACTTTTAATCTATGTCTCCCATCAGCCCAGATCTATGTAAGTATATTTTGTTGAAGGTTCTTCTCATAATCCAGGAAAGGAAAAATCACATGCTCACAAGGACCAAGCAGGCAATGTAAATGCTAACCTATTTAAAGTATGACCACATTACCTGCCTTTGAAAACACTTTGCGAGGTCAAAACATAATAATAATAATAAACAAAACTCTTTACCAATGATTTTCAACCTCAGAACACCGTGATAGTGGAGATTCCCTACAAGTAGGATTTTTTTCTTCCATGTGTAAAGATAAGACAAATATTAATCACAGACTTATTCATACAAAACAGACTTGTTCATAACGTTATCACAGATAAGTTTATTATTTTTAAAAGAAAAGAAAACAATGAAGAAGTTCTAGGGAACAGAATATGATATGGAATGGAAAGTAAGAGTTTACAAACAAAGATGAAACTGGCTCTAGCACATAAAGTCAAGGATTTTAAATTAACCAACAACAAAAAAACAAATTCACCTTCTCTGTGACAATAAGCTAACAATGGCCTTTACTTTTCATGAGATAAATGTCAACCTAAAATTCAATGGATATTTCCTAAGGAAATATTATTAAAGAAATATTTGGTTAATAACAAACAGCTAAGATATCTTACTATAAAACTTGGACAGCATTCCAATAGTCCCTTCCCCAAATACTTCAAAATCTTAATAAATTTCTAACAGAATTTCATCCACGTTTCACTTAGACTTTTGGAAATTTAGAGTTTCTCACAGAACTAAAAAACCCAGCTATTCAGTAGCCAGATAACTTAGAAAAATGAAACCATAATCACTGCTGAAATGATTACTCTTCCATCTTGTCAGCCATTCAGTTTTCCACTGCAAAAGTAAGGACAATGTCCTTTTATGCTGTGAGAAGAGGTAAAAACACAGACATGGATTTAAGGTGCCTGCCTTTAAGACAGCTGGGGATCCATTGCTTAGATCTCTTTAGATACTATTCTGAATGGTGCACGGTTCCAGTCTATGTGTCAGATTTGGTTCTAGGCAGCTTTTCACCAAAACATATATGGAGAGAGTGGGGGTGGAGCTTCCAGCATTCCCTCTCTTATACTGTATTCTCTTCTGGATCCATATACCCTTGTCACACCACTTCAAAGTAGTTTTGACAAAATTTCTGTGGAAGTAGGTACTAGATGAACACAATTAGCATTACTAATAAAGGACTAAGTTTCATTCTGCTCCTTCCAGGCACTGTATAGGAGCTCAAGACAGTAGGTACATAAACCTACTCTTTTACTCTCCCCAGAGGGATATCTCAGGCTGTGTTGGAAGTCAAATGGTAACTCACTCCATTATTTTGCAAAATCTGGTGATAATCAGTTTCAAAAACATTGTGTAAAATGCTCAAATAATTATCTAGAGTTGCATTTGAATGAACAACACATTTATTGTGATCGATTTGTTTCTATGAACTTTCAATGTGAGTTACAGTTCTACACATAGGGAGAATAGAATGCCCCACATGGCATTCAGATTCATTTACCTTCTGAACACTGAGGAATGTCACAGACTTCGTAGCGTACCTCTGGATTGCTTGTGAAACACCACGGTCCCCCTTCTTCCCCTCGAGGATTTCGACAGTAGTTTTCCTGTAGGTCTTTACCCCGATAGCTCGAAGGCAAAAAGCTAGTTTTAAAATGATAATCATTACAGTATAAGAGCATGCAACTTTATTTTTGGCCTATTAATTTTACTAGTTAGTGGATATGTTTGCTTGAAAGTCAAGAAAAGCTTTATTTTATCTCATATGCCTTTCTATATTTTAACTTAAATTCTGTTATTTCCAATCATTTTTAAAGTACTTGAATTTTATTAACATTCATTTAACTGAATTGCCATATTCAACATCACGTTAGAAGGATTAGCCTTCAGATCTGCCAAGAGCCAAACATTCTAGAACATAATTGATGTTTGTAACACAATTTCAAAGCTCCACTCAAGGGTAGCAAATGATTGAGCAAGTCCCCTTAGGAGAGAACTGAGAAAACGCTGCAATTGACTGAAATCTCACTATTTATTACATTCCTTATCTGAGATCATTACTTGCTTGTTTATTGCTTTTCTTATGAAGAAAAGCCCCCTTTTTTCTGCACAATTGAGAAACAGATTGATGAAGTAACATGAACAAAGGGTACAGAATCAAATTAAACCTGGACTCAAATTTCAGCACTTTCTCTTACTGTGAAACCCCAGCAAGTAATTTAGCCTCTTTCATCCTATGGCTTACCTGTACGCTGAGCATAACCACAACCTATACCAGGGGTCCTCAAACTTTTTAAACAGAGAGCCAGTTCACTGTCCCTCAGACCATTGGAGGGCCGGACTATAGTTTAAATAAAACTACGAACAAATTCCTGTGCACACTGCACATATCTTACTTTGAAGTGAAAAAACAAACGGGCAAAAACACCCACATGTGGTCTGTGGGCGGTAGTTTGAGGACACCTGACCAATACTATCTTATACCTTATAAGCTTGTTCTGAGAAGCTCAATGAAATGATAGTGTAATTGATACTTAACAATAACACTGATAACCTGTGATTAAGCACGCTCCACTTTGTGATCTCTACTCTGTCCTAATAAAGAACAGAATTGGTTATTCTCCTCAAAAATTTTGATAATTTTGACTGTGGTTTGGTGCTCCCAGTTTTAGTTTATAATAGTAGGACTTTGGGTGCAGTAACTGTGATACTTTACCTTCATTTCAAATATCTAATGTCCTAGTCATAGTTTTGTTACCAGCATAAAGTCTTTCATCGCAATCATAAAAGCCAAGCCTTTTTTATTCTTTTGTATTGCTTATGGTATTGGACTCAAGGATGCTACATTTTTCTGCTAGACTGCACACAAAACACCATAATAAAGGATATACATCTGTAGGAAACACTAGTAAACATTTTTTTGAAAATCAGTTACATTTTCAATATTCATTTTGGTTTTTGTTAGAAAGTTTTATTTCTACCTTTACTAATCTCTGAGTTCTATATAGAACTGAAATTAGAGTGAAGTCCAAGGATTGTAAGAGCTCAGTAAATACATTCACATGTGTTCCCTACCCAACGAACTTCTAATAAACCATCATTTTTCTTTATGTTGTGACACAAATCAAATACAGACATGCATCAGGTACCAAGCAACATTTTGCAATGAAATTCTCTCATTTTGACATGATGTACACCTGAATTAAGTCCTAAAAAAATACAGATTATTGATCAAAAAGAAATAGTCTATTCTAAGAGACCTATTACTAACTAACATTTTCAAGGAACCGATTGAACATTGTAAACATTAATGCAATTCCTAAGTGTCTTTAGATAAAGTATATCTTTACTTCACTAGCATTTTAAATGTTGGGAAACGAAAAAAAAGACAACAGACCATATGACTGACAAAAACTATAATTCAATTAAAGCTCATCATATTAATAATTTCACAATTCCAAACAGTGATTTTAAAAAAGCTCATTTGTTTTTTGTCTTAGTTTTAGCCTGTCATTAGAAAATATTTGAGTGTATCTTTGTTTGTGATATTGCTTGAAATTTATTTTCTTTCATCTTTCACCTCTTCAATTTTTATGGTAAATTTATATGAAAATACTCATTTTTCTGACAGAATCAAAAGTGACTTTTGCTCTATATATTTTTACAAAGTGATGCACTAATCAAATTTATTTAAGAAAATTTTACTGTAACTATTTTATAAAAAAGCTTTGTATAGTGGAATGGTAAAAGTTATTGTTAATCATAAAACCTACATTGTTACTCCATATATATCACCCAACTGGTATATGATGTTAGACATTAGACAAGTTATTTACTCTTTGGGTTTCAATTTCTTCACTTATCAGATGAATGTAGTGAACCAGATTATTATACATTCCCTTTCTCAGTGTCATTTTGTGTGTCAAAATTTGTTAAGAAACCTAGTGGTTTTAGCATATATGCAACACACATATGTATATATTCAATAGCTACAGTTTTAGAAAGAATTTTCATCTCACACAAATACACTCAGAAGTACACACACATATACACACGTATACCTTTCCAATGGATTTGTAAAGCCAAAAAAGAAGCTGCGAAGAAGTAGTAAATGAATCAATCAACAATTTAGTAGGAAAAATGCAGGCAAAAAGGAAGAGAGATAAAGTAGAAATCAAAACTAGATACAGCTAAAAGATGCATAAACTTCCGTCAATGGAGTTAATAAAATCAGAAGGAAGAGAAAAGAGAGACTTCTTTCCACAATTCTGAATCAAACCATATCAAATTCCCCTCTAGGACATGGAGGTTAAAGAGCAGTCTGGGTCATCTTTTTTCTTCATTCCTGGGTGTAAATTACCTTTTGCCTAAATTAACTGGGTTTCTTTTGTGTCTCAAGGTGTTTAGCCTGCTTTGCTCTAGCATCCCATACATGGCCAAGGGATGAAACTTAGCCCTGCTCTTTCTCTTATATGCGTTCATTCAACAAATGTTTATGAGAAGCTCTTACACACAAGGCTTGTGCCAGTCAGTAGGCTCTGTAATAAGCTTTTATCCACAAAGATACTATTTTTGGTCCTCTGTCCTTGATGTTAGCCAGGCTTTAAGAGAGATAAGTAAAGAAATACTTAAGATTGGGTCACATCCAAATATACTTTGAAATATAAACTAGGTCTTCTGGGTGCTAGCCTCCCTCTCGTTTCTTTTAATATTAACTGTGTTTGTAGGAAACTTGATCTATTCTATCATCTGATTCATTAATGAATGCTGGGTGGCCAATGAAAGATACAGATGTAGATATCAGGTCACCTGATTTTCTGGTTAAAGTTCTCTACTAATTTCATCATCTATCATCATCTTCCTATTAAGCCACTTGTAAAATATTTCAATTTAGGGAGTCAACAATAAATCATTCCTCCTGACAAAAACATATTTCTTTCTCCATTTCCCGTAAAATTAATCTTTAGTCAACACAACTTAAAAGTGTTATCATGCAGATATTCCAATAAGTTACTAATTGAAGAAAAATAAATGTTGCTTCCACTACATACAAAAAAGGATTTGATTAATATACAAAATCCTCTCAGCCATAAACATCTGTATCACAAGGAAGTGTTCGTTGGTAAATTAGCAGATCAGACTGCGAGACCAGTTCCCAGGGAGATCTATTTCATTTACTCCTTTTGCAGAGAATCACAATTATAGAGAATTTGAATTGAAATAAAACCTCTACTAGGTCAGTTCATTGCACTCTCCTGGACCTGTAGGATTGATTTCAAATGCCATTCCTTTGTTCATGAAAAACTTAGAGCCATCTATTTAAATAAAATGGTTTTTTCACTATGCGGGGAATGACACCATGGAAACTCTTAAGGGAGGACATCATTTGTTTTTGTAAAAGAAGCATAATACTATATTTAGAGGTGTTCCTACATAATTGTAACTAATTTGTGAAAATTGTTTTCTATTATTGAACTACCATAGAGCTGATCAGCTTGGACACTTACTAAGCTGGTGTTAATTAGGCCAAAATCACCGATTTGATCACAGTGCAAAGCAACTAACTCTTTTTCTTTATATGTTGGTCAATAAACTCATGTCTGTTTACTAAAGTAAAATTAAGTTGCAAAATCTGCCCCAAAATGGAATGGAATAAAAAGTGGATTCATCAAGGCGCGGTCATCACCACTATTTCATAAACAAGCCACACAACACACATCCTACTGGCAGGCCAATTGTTTCATGCCCTGAGGTTCATAAAAACACAGGTTATAGAGTGGTAGTGGCTGAACTTGAAATCTGGCCATGCACTTACTAGTTGTGCATGACCCTGAAAGTGAACTAAAGTTCTTGGTGTTTCAGTTTCACCCTGTATGCAAACTAGAACTAACAAAACTACCCACTGAGTGAATCTTGTGAGGATGAAATGAGATAAACCAGGTAAACTGCTCAGCAAGGTACTGGCTTATGGTAAACTAAATCTTCTAATGCATTTACTAACCACAGGAGAGCTATGTTAAACTTCATTAGTTCCTATTGAAAGCATTTGTGAAGTAAGTCTTGAAAACTGTGGCTCTATTTAGTTCTCTAGATATAAGAGATTGGGGACTGCGGTCCCCAATCCCTGGGGTGGAGGACGGCTACCAGTCTGGGACTGGGCCTGAGAATTCTGCCGCCCCCACCCGCTCCCTTTCCCCCACCCCCACCCCCATCAGTAGAAAAGTTGTCCCATGAAAATTAGTAACAGAGGGGCTCACAAGGGGGAGCGGGAGGGTGCAGAGGGGACAGTGAGCCGGGGAAGCCTCATCTGTATTTACAGCCGCTCCCTATTACTGCTTGCATCACTGCCTGAGCTTTGGTCCCCTCCCCCCCTTTTGTGAAAAAAAATGTCATCCATGAAACCAGTCCCTCGTGCCAAGAAGGTTGGGGACTGATGCTCTAGTGGGTATTAAATATCTATGTTTTTCTTCCAGGATGACTAACACTCTCAGTCTCCTGAGCTTATGGATACTATGTTTACTCATCTTTAAATAGTATCCATCTGTCATAACGGGCACAATTGCCCTATTCAGTGTAGGCATTTCATTTCCAAGGAATAACAAGTTTTCTCTAGTCTTTAGGCAGTGGGTGAAATGGGAAAGCTGGTCAGTCTGAGGTATGAACTTTTAGCAGTGGTTCTCCATGTTGGCTGCACTTTGGAATCACCTGGGGACCTTAAAAAATAATAGTACTTTATTCCCCTCAAACATTCTGATTTAATTGGTATGTGTTGCCACCTGGATGATGAGCTTCTTCAAGGCCTCAAAACAGGTGATTCTGATGTCCAGCCAAGGTTGATATCCACCAAGGTTAGAGATCACCCAGCCCTCAGTAAGGTAAGAATCTGGTCTATGTCTGATTTTTCATAATCACCATCTCTAGCTGCATACTGCTGTACTTTCTCAAAGCCAAAAAAAAAAAAGGAATAAAAATATTTTTAAAAATAAATTTTACACTATTTCTTCATAAACATCAAGATCTACAAATTGCAGGATTAAGGTAAGAGAATGTTAGGCCACATTTTATTGATAAATTTATTAGTCTTTTGCTAAAATATCAGTCATGAATTCACATAAGCCTTAGCCTAATACAACTCAGCAAAGTTGGCTGAGTTATTGTAGAACTGTAGAAGTATTCTGAAGGACTAATATGAGGCTGATGACACATATAAAAGAGAGGCTCCATCCTCTTTTCTTCATACTGTTCTTACCTGTGTTCGTGTGGTATCATGGAATTCCAGGGCTGGCATTTGATGCCGCTCTTAGTGATAGATACAGTTCCCTTGTAGCTGCCTCCTTTACCAATGATGCAGTTTCTAATGTAGTCTATTGAAGAAAGCAGAGAAAAATGCTGTAACGATGCAAAACATATGCTGTATTTATTGAAGTCAAAAAATAAAATAAAATTCCATTCAAACCTGTAAGTAATTAACTCTTGTAAACGATTTCAAATAATATTGAAAGTTCTTGCCTAAAGCTTCCACTAGTATTTTCAAAATAACACATTTCAGAATAATCCAAAACAAACAGACTATTGAGAAGTTTTAATTTTGTGAATATATGCCTGGATCACTACAGATAGTAGTCTCTGTACTTAAGATGGATTAGTCTATATACTCAACTGGCCAGGCAATTGTGACTTAGTCAAGTATATAGAACATATTAGGAAAATATTAAAAACAAAAATGAAGTAGCTGGGCACATTGGCTCATGCCTATAATCCTAGCCCTTTGGGAGGCTGAAGCAGGAGGATCGCTTGAGGTCAGGAGTTCTACACCACCCTGAGCAATACAGCCAGACCCTGTCTTTATAAAAATTTTACAAAAATTAAAAAAATTAGCTCAGTGTGGTGGTGTATGTTCATAGTCCCATCTTCTTGGGAGGCTGAGGTAGGAGGATTGCTTGAGCCTAGGAATGTGAGGTTGTAGTAAGCTATGATGACACCACTGCCCTCCAGCATTGGTAACAGAGTGAGACTGTATCTCAAAAAAAAAGAAAAAGAAAGAAAGAAAAATTAAGTGAGTTTTTAAAAACCTATATTGAATTTAGAAAGTTACTTAAAATAATATTAACTAATTTTAGTAAAATTGTATGGATTTTGTGTATATATGTGCATGTATAAACTAATTACAGCAGGCTGATTATTATTTTCCATACTTTTGCTAACATTTCAGCTACTAAGTTATAGGACAACCAAATTGTAACAAGATACATATTCCTATCAAATAATAGTAAATACATTTGTTAGCAAACTGGAAGAAAGATTAAATAAAAATGCTCTTATACTAGATCATGAATTATGTTTAGGATTTGTAGAATTATTGAGTTACGTAGAGACTATCTTATTTTCTACCATGAATTTATTTTTAATTTCATTTAAACATTTACCCTATTAACATGAAAACATCTTTATATAGTACCAACTGCTGTATCCAAATTTAATAGGATACAGTATGATTTTTAAAAAAATTAAGATTGAAATAAATGAAATGTTATTTACATAAGTATAATTCATAATTATTATTTTGTGATGAGAGATTTGGCTTATAAAATTAATATTTATTTAACATTCTTTGGTTATTTCATGTTATATAATTCTGCCTTTGAACAAAGTACATACCTTGTGAATATAACACCAGACCACCAGAATGGAGAAATTAACAAATAATATGTTGTCAATTCCTCTTTTAAAGATTTTTTTCAAGTATATGATTAAATATAGATCCAACTCATATTTGTAGAATCTATACATTTTGTAATTTACAGCATTTATCACTATAATTAGATTAGTTGTCCAACATTGTTAAAATATAAATACTATGGTAAACTCAAAATTTGCCATAATATAAGGTGTTTTAAACTAATGACTTAAGATAGCACTTTCTAAAATGAGCATAGAGAATTTCAGTTCTTGGAGATGTTCCTTTAAAAAAAATGGAAAGAATCTAGATTATTGAAAGTTTGGAAAAACTTTCTATAAAGTACCATACTAAAAATAGTCAAGGTACTTAATTTCATCTGTCTTAATTGATGAACTGACTGCCTAACAGATCCAGCATATCATAAAAAAAATCAGCAGGAAAGAGCACTATGGCAGGAAATTATAAACATTTATTTTATTATACTTTATTTCATTATTCAATATTTAGGAAGAAGTCAGTTACCTTTGTTTTCATAGAGGTCAAATTCATGGCCAAACTCTTTTCTCACTCCACTTGACATACTATTGAAAGGGAACCAGAGGCATCGTTTTCTTGTTTTATCAAAAACAAAGGCCCTGAAAAAAATATCTGAATGAAAAGAAGGAATACTACTATTTATACAGTCTTTAAAGAATGGGCATATGGTTAACCAAGGAGGGCAACATAAAAACAAAGGCATAATTACATATATATAATAAAAATACGAGTGATATTTGAAACTACTACTTTGATGGCTAAATAAGAACAAAATTAAGTTTTGTACATATAGATTTAAATATTAGATTAAATACTATTTGGAATGTTCCCATGTTATGCTAAATGACTTGTAGAAAAATAAGGTTTTCAACATGCAAAATCAATATGTAATACAACTACTTCAATTATTTCTAAAGACTTTATTTTTTTATAACTGTACAGCAAGTTAGAAGATTTTATTTGCAGTTGTATACAGATTATTATATTTGAGATATCATGAGTAATTTCTAAAGCTTGTATTTGTATCAAGTGCATTCTAAAACAACATTTTCTAAGGTACATTAGATAAATCCCCACCCCAGGAGATTCTCCTAGGAAGAGGAATCTGAAATCAAATATTTGAAAATATTTGCATATAATATACCTTAATGGTGAGTTTATAAAACCTTGATCCTTATTAAAGGCTGTGAAAATCTTGCTGAGGATAACTCTTTAAGCCAGCATTTCCTAAACAAATCTATTTATATAAGCATTTTTAATTTAAAAATATTATTCATATTAGAGAATATCCTTTTGATATAACATTGCAAAGAAAATTACTAAAGAGTGTCACCTGTACTATTATCATTCCCATAGCTAGGTTTTATACTGGCTTGTTGTTCACTGAAAATGTCTATGATAAATGATAAATACCAAAGAAGGTGACACAGTTTTAAGTGATTTCTTCTGAAAAGTACATAACAGGATTTCCAGTTCGCTAAGCTCGTTTACTCTTTTATCCCATCCCAATCATCTTTTCTCTAAGAAAAGTGTTTCTTTATATTATTTTGCACCTCCATGTGTAGTGGGTGGAAGCCATCAAATTCCATGAGTTGCGTCTTCCTTTAGGTTTGACTTTAAAAGTCTTCACATAAGCATTATTTTAATTATCGTATTCTTTTCAATATTTTATTTTCTCTATTTCCCAGTTTTTTTATGGCAAGAAGGCAATTCTAATATCAGTTACTCAGTCATGGACGGAAGAGGAAAGCCTCCTATTTTATTCTAAGTCAATTCATAAATTAGCAATTTTCTGAAGAGCTTAGGCTCAAGCATTCTGATCATCTTTCCTACCCAGCGAAGAACATCTTGAATCCCTATAAAATCAATATTGTTGATATTTCTCAAGAGGAAACAGTATTTGAGAGTGTTCCACCCACTCAATTCACAGATGCTTTCACAAAACTTTGTTGGTATTTTCCAAGTGGTTTAGTGTATTTTTCATTGTTTTTCAATGACTCTTATCCATACAAGTCTGCAAACAGGATCCTTTAATTCATTAAGAACTTAATTTCAGGGTATCAATTCAATTCCACATAGTTCTGTATAATTTAATGATCCTAAATACATACATACACACATATATGTACATGTATATACAGAGAGAGAAAGAGAAAGAGAGAGATGATTTCCTCATTTTCGGGCAGAAGAACCTCGGCTACCCATAGGTAATATTACATGTGGTTTTCTGTCCAGGTTGCCATAAATTTGGAGACTAAATATAACTCAACCAGAACATGGTAAGAAAGTATAAAACCTCATACACATGGAATATGTGAGTATTTAGTAATTAGGTCACATATCTTCTCCAATCCAGCAAAATAATTTCAGTTTATACTAAATAAAACAAGAAAGCGTTTCTTTTCCAGGCATAAGACTAACTAATGTGACAACTGAGGGGTAGCAATACTTTTCTTACTTGTGGTTCCAGAACAGTATATTTTCAGATTAAAAATCAACAATGATATATCATCCTGTCCTTCCCTTTGGCTTGTCCTCCCAACTCCAGCCTCCTCAATTGCCTGAAGAACATCTCCATAAGTCTTCAAACCTGAGATGTTGATTAAGAGTAGTTTTCTTTAATTTATTTTTAACAATCTCAAGGCTTTTATAGGGAAGTCAGGGAATAAAATAGAATTATCATAGCAATATACTTGCAAAGTCAATTCCCATACCCTTACCAGGAAATCTCCCTAAAAATGGCAATTTAGCTAAATAAATAGAAAAGAGAGAGTCTCTCCTCCTCATAAGTCTGATAAACACCTTCTCTGGCATGTCCTTTCCTCTCAGGCCTATAACACTCATTTTTCTGAAAAAAGCAAGGTTAAATTAGGACCTCTTGCCACTGACATTGCTACACCCTGTGTCCCCATTGTTTGTCATTATCCAAATGCAATTGAGTAGAAGGCAAAATTTACAGAATTTTATGCACAATCCTGTAAAAAAAACAACAACATAAAATCTGGAGTGAAAGAGTAGGAAATAAGCGAGGGGAAAGAATGTTTATAAAATGAACTAGAAAACGCATCTTCTTTGGCAGTTTGGGAGACTACTCAGATGGAACTGTCACCTTCCTAGCCCAAAACTAAAAGTTTTATTGTCTGGGATCCCTGGCAAAGTAGCAAGGAATTCTTCTCTGTGAGATCACACAGGGACTGTCAAAAGATATAAAATGCTCAGTTTGAGTCCCCTCATGCCTCTTCAAATTGTCCCATTAATTTTCACCTGAACCCTCATCATCACTATTCTCTCACTTCTTTTAAATAGCCTCTGCTGCTGACACTGATCCCTCTAGTTTTTTTTTTTTTAATCTAATTCTCTTAACACCTATTATTTAAATTCCTAAAGATGATGATATAAGTTGCAGTAAATTTTGGCTGTTGCTTAATTTCTATTCTGAAAATTCCTCTTTCAAGAAACAAAATAATGTTTACTCTGAATAGAATATTTTAAGAGAGATCAAAGTCAATCTAATTTAATTTTAGTTTCTCAAGTTCAGTTGTTCATAATATGAGAAAACAAATTTTATAACCAAAGCCACTGTGGATTTTATTAATAGAAGGTAACAGTTTTTGTGCTCTCCCTTACTCAAACCATATTTCCATAAATTGAGTGCTAAGTCTTCTGTTGTCATGAGTTAAAACTAGACTCAAGCTTAGAATTTTATGGCCAAATCACATTCAATGCAAAAAATCCACTATGATTATAATGTGTACATGTCATATTTGGAAAATTATCCTAAGGACAAAATGAAGTAACTTACTTGCAAGTGAAAGGAAGTCCCTTATTCCTAATACATCTATTAGCACACTGGTCTGCAGTGTTCATCTTTTTGGTTTTTATCTTCAGAAATGGGTCTTCTTTGATTAGAGTAGTCTTTGCTGATTTTTTGAATTCATGAAGTGTATTTCTTCTTTTCTTCTGTCCCTCTATTAAATACAAAAATTTAGAAAACATAAGCATGGGAGAAATGATTTTAAGGATCATATAGAAAAAATATCTGTAAGGATCATCCACAGAAAATGATTTTATCTGACAACATAGTAGACCTCCAAAGGTTGGGGTGAAGTGAGGTGGAGAATAGCTAAGAGCAATAGAGTCATATTGTAATCAGAGAAAAACAAATAACTTGTCATGTAGAGTCACTCATTTATATTCTTTCAAAGGAAGAAGCTTTTAAAAATTAGGACAGAGTTCACCCTAAAGAAATAAATAACATGATATTCTCCAAACAGCATGAAAGTGCCAGAGTTTATCATGTCAGGTCTTATAATTAGATTTTTCATTTCCTTCTACAATTGGTCCTTATGTAAGTTATAGTGTTAATTAGAGAAGCCAATTCAAAGACAGGTGAGAAACCTCTCATTAAAAACTGTGTAGTAGACAAATTCTTCTGACTTGATCTTTAAAAATCTTTCATAGTGTTCATATTTTAGCCCTTCTCATGTACTGCAGAAATGTTTTCTGTGCTTTTGGGCACTATTTCTTGGTATCACTGAACTGTTTGTTTTGAGATCAAGCCAAATGCGGTAGATGAAATGTATGTAAAACATTATCCTTTAAAGTGGGAATTTCATTTTGCTTCATGAAAGTACAAGGTCCCTAGATAGCATGGAGCCTCCTACTGAAAACCTGAAAAACTGAACTAAAACATCCTAAAAGACTTAATTTTATGGATAACTCTAGAGGACCAAGAACTTGTTTCTTTATGCTCAATGTGCCCAAAGTAGGCCTGATCTAATGATGATCACTATTTTTACAATGCCGATCAAGATGTCTAATAGATTGCAGCTATTGTAGATAAGGATGGATATGCTCATGCTCCTCTGCCTATCAATTCTTTTTGAACATGCTTATAACCAAGGAAGTAATGATACATTCTTTTTTAAGTCTAAGAAACCAAGGTACAGGGAAAAAATGAATTGACCATTTAGAAGGTCTCCGATTGGAAACCTGCCCGGCTTCAAAACCACTACTCTGAGCCACTTACCACGCCATCTCTATCTAAGAAATGCAAAGATTGTATGTGGAAATATGGTTTGTAAACCTTTTTCTGAAGATTTGGTTTAGACCTATCAATAGAATAAACTTGAATGGCAGAGCAGGAAATACAGTCCTTGTCTTTGTATATGGTCAAATGTCTCAAAAAGGGAGGGTGAAAAGTTTTGTGCAGAAAATTTGGAAATATGGCTAGCAGAATAAGTTGCCAAAATGGCATCATCTTTCAAATTTCCCAGCAACCATTGGCTCCAATTGATTTATTAAGCACACAGATGCTACTCGTTAATATCTGTCCTGATCCAAAATTAACAATAAATAAGAGAAAACCAGAGGTTCTCTAAATTTCTAGTTGTCTATAAAACTCCAAAACACAATCTTCATAAGACTGGTACTAATTCCTTTAATGATGCTTTCATTTTTAACTTTTCTTTGCCCTGTAAGATAGAATGGCTATGGTACAACAGATATAGTTTAAAAGACATTTTAACATAGAAATTAAAACCACCAAATAATCTATAAGATGTTATTTATTGAGTGTGGACCAAATGCCTTACATAATGTTCGCAGACAGATGATAATTCTGGTATTCTTATTGACTTGGCAAATGACTTTGTTTAATTACCTGAAATGTTAATATCTCCATTAATCTAGAAACTAAAAATTATATTACTTTAAACTAAAAAAGTTATTTAAACTATAATCATTAAGTAAATATTTGGGAATCAATTTGGATAAAAATATTATAAATATGCAAAGTTTTAGTTATATTCTTGAAATTTTATCCTTTACTTTCTGGTATAAGAGAAGAAACTGTTATTCTCCCAAGCAAAGAAGGCATAATTCTTTTCAAATTTTGGTTTCTATCATAGAACTATATTAATGGGAGATGAGTTTTTCCATTAAGAGTTTCTCTTTCCTTTGACCTTATTATGCTATTTCTTAGATGCTGTGAAATGGTTCATAGCATAATAATCATCTGATTTCCTATATAAATCTGAATATTTCTTAGAAATAAATAGTAGTTAATTGATACCAAAAAAATCTGTTAAAGTATCTACCAAAATGCAAGAATTTTATACATATATTTCTCAAATGAATTCTGTTAATTAAAAATACAGAATTAAAAATGGCCTGGTGTATAATGTGTTTATTAGACATGTTTAAGGGTTAGAGAAAACCATTAAAGTAAATTCAAAAAGTCTAAGAGAAACATTACATTTATAATGTATTTTAATAATTGTCAAATAGAATTCCTGGCCAATGTTCTGGTTTCTTTTCTCAATACCATGCAATATTAAGGCAATCTGTGGAGACTATTCTGGAGAAAAGAGGTCTCTGTGGAATTGTTGGTTGTGTTTAATTCTACAGATCCTCAGTTGTCCTATTGAAATGTGTTAATGTGTGGTTGTACCTCATAAAAACAGTCTACCCTTGCTTGCTGATAAATTTTCCATCCATACCTTTCATCTAAAGATCAAAAAGCATTTTGAAAAACAAATAAATCTATGATTTCCCTTTACTAGATAATAAATAGAAGTGAAAAGCTTATCTGGGGCTACAAAACTAATCAAGAACAATCGGAACCAGACACCAGAATTCCCTTCTCACAATTTACTTCTCAAGAAGACATAGAAACTTTATTTTATAATTCAGTCATTTATACTTGGTTGGTAACTAATTACTCAAAAATATGAAGTTGGAGCTAGTTGCACATCATGTAATCCATGCATTTATAAAATTAATGCTTTATTAAATAAAAGGAAAATTCAAAACAGAAGTCATTCAAAAACAGCATCTGAAAATAAAATGCCTTTGCTGAAAATAGTTTCAACTGTCTCTTCCATATGTATTAACAACTGATGCTTGTTTTACTGAAAACAGTTAAAAGCCAAGCTTAATTTGGGAAGAAACTCCAAAATATCTTTGGATCAGATTTTTCCCTACTATTTTTTTGTGCGTGACTATTAGTTGTAGTTTATAAACAAAATATTGAAATGGCATCAAAGGGTGACAGATCACTGCAAATTTGTCATGCTTTCCTGTACTTTAAATTACAACTCCTTTTCCCTCTTCTCCCAGTATGGGAAAACATTCTGGAAGCTATATTTCCTGATGAACCTGAAGTCTCTGTTTTAAAACTGAAATCATTAGGATCCTAGTGAAAACCTACAAACAGAAAGTAGGGTCAAATGTATCAAGGTGCTTGAAGAAAGACACATTTCTCCCTCTGGTCCCTGGGCCTCACACTCATTTCTCTCAGTACCTCATATATTTTCTTCTCTGTGTGGACTAACCATTGACTTCAAAGGAAAATCATGCAAGGAAAGGATTTGCAGGGTGTGGAAAGAAACAGGAGTCTGGTTCCATACATTCTGAGAAACCTACCCACATGATTAGTGATTAACAGTTTGAAGTGGCAAGATGTTAAGATGAAAGTATACAAATAATTAATGGAAGGGAATGGTTGGGACTGGAGATTTTCAACTCTCCAAAGACAAAAAAATCACAAGTAGAAGTCCAAATTTTCATTGTGATTGTCTAGGACTCCGATTTTACAAATTGACAATCATCTCCCCTTCTTTAGGGAAGGCAGCACAATATCACAAGATGTCAGGAAGAGTCATGTCAGATTTAAATCAAATGTTGGAATTTGAGAAGCAGCATAAATAATCTCTTCCAAGGAGATTTACAAGATAAAGTGATGTTCAATGTGATTTTAGGGGCCTCCTTAGATATTTCCCTCCTTCTATTTCTTTTCAGTTCCAGTTCAGGGTTTCATTGTTATAGAAGCCTCATCGTGGTCTCTGCCTTCACTGTCTGTTTCTGTCTACAACTCTCCTTCTACACAGCAATGGAAGCAACTGTACTGAAGTACAACTTCAAGTTGTACAACTTCAAGTATCTAGTCAATGCAAAAACTTTCAGCTGCTCCCTATGACTCATTATAGAGAATACATGGTTTAGCATGATGTTCAAGGCTATCAATCCTACCCCATCTTACTTTTCCAATCACAGGCCATATTTCCCCTTATATGCCCTATATACCCATCGCAAATGGTTGCCTTCAGTTGCTGTGGGAGGTACTTTTTGGGGCATCCATTATGATTTCTAACCTCTATGCTTTGTGTTCCCCTGCTTAGGTACCAACAATGCTACCTCCCATCTTTTCATACTCAACTTGTATACCATATACCCACAAGCCTGGTTTGATCCTCTACACTAGGAATAAACTTTCAACCATAGTATTTCTAACAGAGGATTATTTTTTTCATGTCACTTAGCCAAGTGACTTTTTTAAAGTAAGTTTCAGTTGATTTCACTCTTGGATTCAGTATAAATACAAGAAAATAAAGCACCACATATTTCATTCACATAGATTTAGGTAGAGAGCACTGTCCCTTAACTAACAAAGAAATAAGATAATTGAGGTTGTTAAGCCTCAGTTTCCACATGTAAAATGAGTCCATTAATGTCCATCTTATTTGAATTAAATAAGCTTTACTTTAGAACTTGGTCCATAGCAGTTGCTCAACAAATACAGGTTCCTTTTTCATTTGTTCATTTTTATATTCCCCACAGACTCTTGGATACTAAGTGCTCATTTAATGCTTCTTTTATTACAGATGATTGGATATTTATTTCCAGTGTGAGTGGGAGTGAATAGAGGGTAATTCTAAGTAAACTAACTCCTAGAAGGATGGCTTAGGTTCACTATATAGAATATTTCTTTTAAAACTTTTAAAAAAATTGTCTCCATAATAGATTCTGTCCATAACTGGTTGTCTACTTATTATAGTATCCACTTCTATTCTAACAATGTGTTATTTTATAACGTACAATACATACAATATGTACAAATATAGAATAAATCAAAAAGTGTAACTAAAGGAAATAAGAAAAATAAAAGAAAACCTCTAAATCTTTAATATTAGATAACATTTAAAAAGGACCAACTTTCTTTATATGTTCTAAGAGAGCCACATTTTCCATTTTGGAGGTTATTAAAAAAAAACTATCAAAATAAACTAGCCACCCAAACAAAGGCAGACCCTTTTTTGATGACAATTTTAGAATTATCCACTTCAGGAATTATTCACAGCATATTTGTAATTCCCAACTGGACCCTCCTTGCCTGCCAGCACACTCTTGGGCCGAATTTTCTCTATGTTCAGGAAACACAGTCATTTCTACATTAGCCAAAGCGAAATATAATTACAAATGTATATCTCCTGCCAAAACTTCATAATGCATGCCAAAAACAAATAGACATTGTCTATGGTTGATCTACTGTTTGGGTTTTCCACACTGTGTTCCCCTTGCATTAGCACAGATGATTTCAGGTAACCATATTCTACTTCAGAACAGCAACATTTTCATCTTTAAAAGCAAATGCCCTCAAAATATGAATCATGATTTCAAGTTATGCACAAAACCCCATAAACCAGCAATGGTCTTCTATAAATCCATTTTAACATGACATATCTCAAGCATGATAACCTTCTTGATTTGAACTTTTTTTTCTTCACCTCTTCAGAAATCTTGCCTAAATGGTTTCAAAGTGACCTTTCCCAAACAGAGTCATATTCCAAAAGGGCCACTTTGCAAAAGTGGGTTGAAACCAGGTGGGTTGAATAATTTTCCTTATCACTGAACAAGTCCTTGAAGTTTTTACTCTTGTATTACATCAGAAACTAGATCAGAGATCTGATAAATTTCAGATTCAACTTATCTCCAAAGACATAGCCAGTTCTCTGTTTTTTATTGTAAAAGGCCATGTCTACCAATGTGGGCATTTGTTCCATTCTTTTATTCCCCTGTGCCCACCCCTAATGCACATTGCCTTCTCCTGTTGGCACCCCAGCCACTACTATGATAATACAACCAAATACAGATGTTTCCTCTTGTCCTGATAACAAGAGAAAACTTCCCCAAGCAGCAAATGAGATCTCTAAATTTCCAGGCTATACGAACTTTTGAGCAACTCCTCCCAACCTGCAAATCCAAGGGAGAAAGTAGGAGACTGAGAAGAGCAATCCTGAAGCTTTAATCAAAGTCATGCGATTTTTGTGTCCCCTGCACTGTAGTTTCACAAGGGCAGGCATCCATACCCAGAAAGAATGAGACCTTAGAAAAGAGGCTTTCTCTTTCATTTTTATAGCATGCATATTCCCAGAGTTTAATCTATCTCCTCCAAACGAAAACCTGTATAAAGTCAGAATTTGGCCCTGACTGTTAATTGCATGATGTGGAATAGTGGATTATCATGAAAAATTATCCTCTGGAAAAAGATGAGTCCCTGCTGGGCTGACCATCACTCTCCCCTGTTCAGACCCGATCCGTCAGCTTTAAATTTGTCCAAACCAGCAAAGTTCCAGCCAGTGTTAGTACTTCCTACTTATCCCATAATCCACAACTATTAAGCTAAGTGAGGTGGGGCTGGGTGCTGAGGGAATGTTAATTATCACTTTAAATGCTTTTCAAACAGAAAAAGAATGTCAAAAGAAAGCATAATGAGAGGTTTTAGGAACCCATACCACATACTGAGTTAAGGATGCTGAGAAGAGGGTAAAAAGAGTGTGTGAAAAGGGAAAGGGAAGGTTAGCAAAAGACTTAATTATAATAATAATGAAAAAGAAGAAAACTAACCTGCATAGGGGATGGCGATGGGAAGCAGAAGGAGATGGAGGAGGACATGCTGCAGCAGCAGGACTGGCAGAAGTTTGGTCACCCACATGGTGCGGCTGGACGTGCTGGCGGATCCCACTGGAGGAGATGCCCGGGCGAGAGAATCCTGTGCCGAGTCAGTGCCTAAAAGAGCCAGTCGGCTTGGAGCTGCTTTTTACTGCGATGAGCTAAGTTTGTTGTGTGATTAACTGGAAAGATCTAGGTCTGAACTCCCTCTTACGGTAAGAAACTGTTTAACAACAGCCCTTTACTCTCTTCCAGCCCCCTCCTTTCCTCACTCTCCCCCTCCAAACACCACCAAACAGATCCCACCCGCCCCTTCTCTACCCCCCCCACTTAGAAAAGAAACTTACAAAGAAAAGGTCACCTGGCCTGAGGCCAGCTTCAATTTGGAAGCTGGAGCTCCAGATCCCAGTGGCTCCTATCCGAGTAGGGAAGGGAAAAGCCAGGCTCAGCCCAATAGCTAAATCAAGGCACAGGCAGAGGACCAATTCGCTAAATTTAAACAGGAAAATACATGTGTTTACATATCTATTTGGGAAAAGAGGAAGGGGAAGCAGTATAAGAAGAAAGCAAAAGAGCTGTCTTTCAGCCAAATGTGCCCCAGCTCCTAATCTGTCTAGTTTCACCGCTAGAGCAATCTAGGGATTCAAAGCACTGACAAGGTTCCCCAGGGTTTTAGGGGGAGAGAGGAGGGAGGGAGGGAAGAAGGTGAGAGGGAAGAGCCCAGGCAAGTCCAGCCCAGGTAGAAAGAAGTTAGGTAAAGAAAGGGTGTGGTATTGTGGGGCAAAAACAAATAAACAAGTAAAACAAAAGCACTCAGATCCTCAGGTGGGGAAACTACCCCTACCCTGTAGGGGTAGCTCAGAGCAGGCAGCTTTTTTCAGAAGCTAGGCTAAAACTCCCAAATCACCACAAAATTTACCCAAAGTATACAAAAGAAACCTGTCTGTTTTATCTGGCGATACTTTCTCTTAAAAAGTCTAAGGGATAGTCACTGTCCACTGCCTGTCCCTGGCAGGTAAATATTCCGTGGACTAGATGTCCCAACATAGACACACTCACACACATGTGTGTATATGCATGTATGCACCTGCTGGGATTAACTTGCACTGGAAATCTGTCAAGCCGTTTCAATTTGTGAATAATTAATGTGGCTCTTTTCTCCGGCTCAGTCTCCCTGCACACTCCCCCCAGCCTCCCAAAGTCTAAGTGGAAGGGTAGAGCTTGCATGGGGAGGATTTATAGGTAGCAAGTCTTTGTGAGATCATTGCACAGATCTCTCATTTTATTCAGAGAATATGTCTGTGCACCTCGAGGTGGATGCCCTGATTATTTTAAGCAAGAGCTCGCTTTATTTCTAATGCATGTTGAAGGATAGTTGCCCCTGAGATGGCTGTTAAGTAGGAACCAGCATCTCTGTGGACAGAGGAAGGGAAAGTGGGCGGAATGAGTCGGGAGCAGTGGGCGGCTGCTAGAATTGGTCGTAGTGGGGCAAAACTGAAGTAATCCACGGAACAGCTTTCCTTCTTCTTCCTCCAGCTCCCCCATCCCTGCCTTCAGGGGGAAAAAAAAAAAACCTGCCTAATAAATCCCTGAGGTGGTGGGATTTCTAGAGAAGCTGGGGATTAAGAGAACTCTTTTTGAAGGATCTATTTTATATTACCTTTTCCTTTTGCTAATCCTTCCCTTTTATCATTTTCTCCTTACTTAAAAATCATTTGTCAGCTTCTCTCTGGTGTCTCAGTATGCATTTTACTTTCTTTTTAGTGTCCATTACACTTTCTGGAAAATTTCAATTTCATTTCAGTGTATCGCCTGAAGATGACCCTGAATTGCTCCACTGCATCTCTTGTGCTTTTTTAGGGTGTAGGGGCTCAGAAAATGATACCCCGAAATGAAAGCTTTAGAAGCAGCTCTCTCTGACTTTCTCTTGCCCTCTCTTGTCTAGGGGCTGTCCTTACCCCCTACCCCCAGTAGCCAGCTATAGAAACTAGAACCCCTCTTTCCAAAGGTGGTTCACAGAAGCCCGAACCCCTTTACTCCAAAGCCAGCCATATCACCTAAAAATATTACTCTAACTTTCCCCTATGCCTTTCTGTGTAAAAACTAGCCATAAAGAAATTATCTGACCTTGTTTGATGGTAGGTCATAAGACCCCCATTCCAGAGACGGTTCTGCCCTATACCCAGAAGGAAGGAATGCTGCACAGAGTCCAAGAGGAATCTAATCAGACAGGCCTTGCTGGGTTTCCCCACTCAGTCTATTAGTTAGATCATACCCTTTTGTCCAATCATATTGCAACATGGCTGTCCATTCTTTATTGAACCTAAGCATGAAAATGGACCATTTCCCTTGTATCTTTGCGTCTTCATTCTGGAGGCTCCTGTGTCACATAAAACTGATCAAATAAATTTGTATGCCTTTTCTCCTATTAATCTGCCTCTTGTCAATAACTTTCAGTGAACCTTCAGAAGGCAATGGTGAAGTTTTCCCTTGGCCCCAACAGGGATTAAAGGTGTTTTAAAAGAAGCTAGATTTTTCTGTAAGTAAATTCTTGTAGGTAAGGAATGAAAGAGAACAGTTTATTTTTTCTCTCTCTCAGAGAAAGTAGAGTCAGGTCTGTAAGCATAGGTATTATTACGAGTTTGAAGGAAAATCAATCTAGGATAAGGAATTCGGAACAACATAAGAAAATTTAATGAATTTATTTATTAGGTCACACATTTTTGCAATTTTTTAATTGTCACATTAAATATGGTAAATACAACTTAAGCCTATTTAAAATTATGTATTTATGTTTCTTTTTGACAGAGTTGATTTGGTTTCTCTTCGTTGAAATTATAATGTGCACTGAGCTTTTAGTGTATCCTAAGCATCATGTTAAGAACTCTTAAAAATTGTCTAATTTAATCCTTACAATAAGCTTAAGAAAGAATCATTATAATTCCTATTTTATAGTCAAGGAAACTTAAGTAAATTATTTTTATTCCTAAATAACTTGTCCAAGATCCCAAAGTAATATTCAAGTGTGAGATTCAAATAGATTAGTCTGTTTACCATCCCAAAGGATGGGGTTAATTTCTTTAAATCTCAGGAGGAAATGAATCATGTGTTCAAAATTATAATAACCAAAATTAGTCTAAAACTGGACATATAGAAGATATGCAAAAATGTTTACAAAATAGGCCAATATGTAAATAATTTTAAATCTCCCAAAACTATAATGAAATATCCAAATGAAATGTATTATTAAGTATGCCATTAATTTACTTTGTCTTGATAATACACTCTCTTTGCTTTTTCTAAATTATAACAATGTTTTCTCCATGCCCTCTAATTACCTTCATACAGGAATACCTCATTATATTGCACTTTGCTTTATTGTGCCTCACAGATACTGTTTTTCTTCCAAATTGAAGATTGGTGGCAACCTTGCATTGCACTAAGTCTAATGGTGCCATTTTTTAAATAACATGTGCTCACTTTGTATCTCATGTTGGTAATTCTCATAAATTTCAAACTTTTTAATTATTATTATATGTGTTACAGTGATCTGTGATCAGGGATCTTTGATGTTACTGCTGTAATTGTTTTGAGGTGCCACAAACCATACCCCAAACTTAATCCATAAATGTGTGTTCTGATTACTTCACTGACTGTTCCCCCATCTCTCTTCTTCTTCCTGCGGCCTCCCTAATCCCTGAGACAGGAAAATATTAAAATGAGGCCAATTGATAGGCCTACATGGCTTCTACATGTTCAAGTGAAAAGAAGAATTGCATGTTTCTCACTTTAAATCAGAAGCTAGGAATGATTAAGTTTAGTGGAAAAGGCACATCCAAAGCCGAACAGTCAGAAAGCTAGGCCCCTCGTGCGAAACAGTTAGCCAAGCTGTGAATACAAAGGAAAAGTTTTCAAGTGAAATTATAAGTGCTATTCCAGTGAACACACAAATGATAAGAAAGAAAAACAGCCTTATTGCTGATACGGAGAAAGCTTGAGTGGTCTGGAAGGAAGATCAAACCAGCCGCAACATTCCCTTAAACCAAAACCTAATCCAGAGCAAGGCCCTCAACATGGAGGCAAGACCCTTCATCAGCAAAAGATTACAGCTCACTGAAGGTTCAGATGAGCGTTAGCACTTTTTAGAAATAAAGTATTTTTAAATTAAGGTAGTACATTGTTTCTTTAATATATAGTGCTACAGTACATGCAATGGACTGTGGTGTAGTGTAAACGTAACTTTTATATACACTGGGAAACCAAAAAATTTGTGTAACACACTTTATTGAGAGACTCGTTTTATTGTGGTAGTCTGGAACAAAATCCACGATATCTCCGAGGTCTGCCTGTACTTCTTAAATGTTAGTTAAACAGTTCGTATAAATCCCCCAAAAGATGTGTTTGAAAAGTTTTGATAAAGAATCTAACAAAGAGAATACTTTAAATGCTACAATTTATGTATTTACTTAAATACTAGATACTAGATACTCACTGTCATATAATTTCATTTTAAATCTGTCCTGTGATTAAGGTCTCTAGTATCCCATATAAACTAGATGGGTTGAATGGAAAATTGTACTTTATTGTACTTTTTGAAAGGCTGCCCTTGGTTAAACACGCACACACACATACAAATATCTTGTCTTCAAAAGCGCATGTTTCTCAACCGCAGGTTATGTTTATAAAAGTGTACATTGGGAATAAGCTGCTCTGACTTTGTGATCTGCAGATCACTAATGAGTTTTGTGTTTTTGGACTGGTTGTTTCATTTATTAAATGCCTGGCACATACCAGGTTCCATTGTGTTTGCTGCTACTGCTCCTATAGGCTCAGTTTAGTCATATGCCTGGTTTCAAATCCCAGCTGAATCATTTACTAAATCCACTACTAATTGAGAAAGGTAATTAGTCTCCCTAATGTTTCAGTTTCCCTACCACCAAAATTGGATAGTAGATGTCTGGTACTGTGGTAAACACTTCATATATATTATCTTGTTTACTCTGGCCTCTTCACATAGAAAAAAAAGAAGTATGTATATCTGAGATAAATATCTGATTTACAAATAAGGAAATCATGATTCTAAGCCATCAGCTTTCCAGATATCAAGACACTGCTATCAAACAATATGCCACATTGAAAGAGATCCAGATTAAGAGATATCAAACATTCCTTCCAGCTTTAAAATTTGATTATTCTATTTATCTAAATTCTACAGTGGTCACCATACTTCTAAACAATTCTTACTTTCCACATCTAATACAAAAGCACATGTGTAACCTTTGATATGGCTTATCTTTCCTACATAACCATATCTTCTCATTTTTTATCTCTTTGTTGGTCTTCTCTTTGAGTGGTCATTTTTCATCTATATGCCTCATCACTGAATAATTTGTATTGACTACACTTGATGTAGGAAATATTACACAAGTCATTAGAGTTTGAATCAAAAAACATTATAAAACACATGAAGTAAAAATTTAAAAATATATGATGCAAGCAGGCATGATGACATATTTATTTGCAAAATTATTGAAGAGGGTAAAATGTCCATGCAGAGACATAGACCAGTGCTGTTCAATATGGTAGCTGTAAGCCATGTATGGCTATGTAAATTCAAAATTAAATTAATTAAAATTTAAACTAAACTTCCTCTGTTGTGCTCAGTA